CACTCCACTCCACTCCACTCCACTCCACTCTACTCTACTCTACTCTACTCTACTCTACTCTACTCTACTCTACTCCATTCCATTCCTCATTCTATTCTATTCCTTCTCTATTCTATTCCATTCCATATTTTCTATTCTATTCTATTCTATTCCATTCCATTCCATTCCTTATTCTATTCTATTCTATTCTATTCTATTCTATTCTATTCTATTCTACCCAAATCCCAACTTACCTGAATGGGCACACCTCATTCGTCGACGTGAGCCATCTCCCGCCTTCCCACCCCCCTCCTCCAGAGCGGCTCTCTGAAATTAAACGCCGACAACAGCCAACTCAATAAAACCTCACAGCTCATAAATTCAGAGCCCGGCTAAGATTCAATTAACAGCCGGCCTGTTCAGGGACATCTATCTTGGGCTGCTGTGTCTCTGCTGATGTCACTCGGTCGGCCGGTTTCTCTGAACGTGGCCAAACACAATTTCGGAGGAATATATGGCTTTATGAAAATGATAGCTATGCGGCCGCAATCGAAGTGACAAGTTGGTGGCCGGCTGAGAAAAGCATGTTCGAATATAAAATAAATCTTGCAGGGGTGCGAGATTGGCTCAGTGGCTAAGATGCTGAGCTTGTCGAGCAGAAAGGTCGGCAGTTTGGCGGTTCGAATCCCTAGTGCCGCATAACGGAGGGAGCTCCCGTGACTTGTCCAGCTTCTGCCAACCTAGCAATTCGAAAGCATGTAAAAAATGCAAGTAGAAAAATAGGAACCACCGTTGGTGGAAACAGTGTTCTATGCGCCTTCAGCATTTAGTCATGCTGGCCACATGACCACAAAGACGTCTTTGGACAGCGCTGGCTCTTCGGCTTTGAAACAGAGATGAGCACCGCCCCCTAGAGTCAGGAACGACTAGCAAGGGGAACCTTGACCCTGACCTTTAATCCCTTATCATTCAACTCTCTCCCCCTTCTCCCTCTTTCTCTCTCTCCCTCCCTCTCTCCCTCCCTCTCCTCTCTTTTTCTCTCCCTCTCCCTCTCTATCCCTGTTTCCCTCCCTCTCCCTTTCTCTCCCTCCCTTTCTCTCTCCTTTTTTTCTCTCCCTCTCCCTTTCCCTATCACTCCCTCTTTCTCTCTCTCCCCCTCTCTCCCTTTCCCTCCCTCTCTTTCTCTTTCTCTCCCTCTTTCTCCTTCTCTCTCTCCCTTTCCCTCTCCTTCCCTCCCGCTCCCTCTTTCTCTCCCTCTATTTCTCCCTCTTTCTCCCTCTCTCTTTTTCTCTCCCTCCCTCTCCTTCCCTCTCCCTCTCCCACTCTCTCCCCCTCTTTTTCTCCCTCCCTCTCTTTCTCTCTCTCTTCCTCTTTCTCTCCCTCCCCCTCTCTTTTTCTCTCCCTCTCCCTCTTTCTCTCCCTCTCTGCCTCCCTCTCCCTTTCCTTCTTCTCTCCCTCTCTCTCCCTCTTTCTCTCCCTCTCCCTCCCTCTCTCTCTTTCTCTCCCTCTCCCTCTTTCTCTCCCTCTCTGCCTCCCTCTCCCTTTCCCTCTCCTTCTCTCCCTCTCTCTCCCTCTTTCTCTCCCTCCCCCTCCCTCTCTCTCTTTCTCTCCCTCTCCCTCTTTCTCTCCCTCTCTGCCTCCCTCTCCCTTTCCCTCTCCTTCTCTCCCTCTCTCTCCCTCTTTCTCTCCCTCCCCCTCCCTCTCTCTCTTTCTCTCCCTCTCCCTCTTTCTCTCCCTCTCTGCCTCCCTCTCCCTTTCCCTCTCCTTCTCTCCCTCTCTCTCCCTCTTTCTCTCCCTCCCCCTCCCTCCCTCTCCCCTCCGCCCCAGTTTTCGTGATCTGTCCTGTTGGCTTGGAGATGATAGAGAGCTCTGTGTTAGGGAGATGTAAAAATGTTT